TGTTTTGATTTGCATCTCTCTTAGAGCTAGGGATTTTGAACATTTCTTCATGTGCTTGTTAGCCATCTGAATGTCTTCTTTGGTGAAGTGTCTGTTCATTTCCTGTGCCCATTTTTCAATTGGGTCGTTTACATTTATCTCATAGGAGTATTCTATAAATTCTAGATATAAGTCCCTTACCAGACATGTCATTACCAAATATTTTTTCCCAGTCTGTGGCTTTCCTTTTTACCATGTTGGGAAAGTTTTTGGATGTGCATAGAGATTTGATTCTTAGAAGATCCCATGCATCTATTTTATTCTCTCCTTGTTTTATGTTTTTCAGGATGCTTGGGCGACTGTTGATGTTGTAGAATAGGGCTTCTAGAGTTCTTCCAAGCTTTTCTTTGATCAAGTTTATCATCTTTGGTTTCACTCCTAGATCCTTGATCCACTTTGAGTTGGTTTTTGTGTATGGTGTGAAATGGGAGTCTTGCTTGAGTTTTCTACAGATAGTTTTCCAGTCTTGCCAACACCATTTGTTAAAGAGGCTTTAGTTTCCCCACTTAACTGATTTTATCTCCTTGTCAAAAATCAGTTGACTATAGGTAGATGAGCTGATTTCTGGGTCCTCAATTCTACTCCATTAATCTGTGTCTGTCACTGTACCAGTACCACGCTGTCTCGACCACCACCGCTGTGTAGTAGGATTTGCAATCAGGGAGTGAGATGCCTCCTACTTTGTGTTTCCCTTTTTCAGGAGCGCTTTGCTTATTTGGGGTCTCTTTCCATTCCAGATTAAATTGGAAATTGTCTTTTCCATCTCGTTAAAGAATGGAATTGGTATTTGTATTGGGATTGCATGGAACTTATAGATTGCCTATGGTAGAATTGTCATTTTCACAATATTGAGTCTTCCTATCCAAGAACAAGGTATATTCTTTCATTTCTCCAGTTCTCTTTTTGTTTCTTGTGGTAATGTGTTGTAGTTTTTAAAAAATAGGTCTTTTGTGTTTCTAGTTAGATTTACTCCCAATTAATTAATCTTGTGATTAGCTATTTTCTTAGCTCCAGTTCTGTGTTCTCTTTGTCATTGTAGAGATATCCAACGTATTTTTTGAATGTTGATCTTGTATCTTGCCACTTTGCTGGTTTATGATTTGATTATGTCCAGTAGTTTTCTTGCTGAGTCTTTATGGTTTTCTAAGTATACTATATCATCTGCATAGAGAGATAATTTTACCTCCTCATTGCCAATTTGGATACCTCTTATTTTCTTCTCTTATCTTACTGCTATCGCTAAAACTTCCAATACAATATTGAATAAGAGAGGTGATAGTGGGCAATCCTTGCCTAGTTCCTGTTCTCAAAGGGAATGCCTTTAATCTCTCTCCATTGAGAATGATACTGGCTCTTGGTTTTGCATATATACTTTTTGCTATGTTGAGGAAATTCCCCTCTATTCCTATTTTATTGAGTGTTTTAATCAGGAAAGAATGTTGGATTTTGTCAAGGCCTTTCCTGCATCAATTGATAGGTTCATGTGGTTCTTGTTCTTTGCTTTGCTAAGGTGATAAATTACACTGATTGTTTTTCTTATGTTGAACCATTCTTGCATAACTGTTATGAATCCCACTTGGTCATGTTGTTGTTGTTGTTGTTAAGTGCTTTCGAGTTGTAGATGACTCATAGCAACCCTATGAACAAAAGACTTGGACACTTGTATAACTTTCATCATTTCTCCAAGTTCATAGGGTTTCTGGAGGCAAGCTATTTTGGAAGTGGATGCCACTCATGCTTCCAGACTTGTTTTAATCAGTGAGCTCCACCAAACACTGTCCACCATGGGTAACCATTACTGCATCTGACACATCAGTGTCACAGTGTTTAGCATCACAGCAACCACATATTACCACTTGGTCATAGTTAATTATTTTTTTGATGTATCATTGGATTCTTTTGGCTAGGATTTTCTTCAGGATTTTTGCATCAATGTTCATAAGAGATATAGGCCTATAGTTTTCTATTTTGGTGGTATCTTTACCTGACTTTGGTATCAAGTATATATTTGCTTCATGGAATGAGTCTGGGAGAATTATTGGGGGGGGATTCTTGAGTGTCTATGGAATTAAAAGAGAAGTGATCTATTTGCCCAGTCCATGGAAGATTGGGAATCAATGTATTTGTAGGCACTAGAAAGTAAACCCAAAACTGAACTGAGACTGTTGCCTTGAGACCATTCCAACTCACAGCAACTCTATAGGCTATAGAACTACTCCATTGGGTTTTCAAGACTGTAACTGCTATGAATGTAGACCATCACATCTTTCTCCAATGGATAAGCAGTACCTTTCTTAACCACTGTCTAGCCAGGGCTCCTACCATGACCCACTGTCACTGAGTAGATTCCAACTCCTGGTATCACCACATCAGGTTTCTAAGACTGTAAATCTTTGTTTACAAAGATGTCTTCTGCCTTTCTCAGAGCTCTGGTGGATTCCAACTGCTAACCTTTCAGTTATGAGTCCAACATAAGGCACTATGCTCTACGACTCCTTAAAAAAGTACAATGTTGTTAAATGTTGATGAGTTGAGGACTCATAGCGACCCTATGAACCACAGATCTGTACTCTGTTCTATCCTGTGCAATTCTCATCATTTCTGACATCTCTAGAATTTCTATCTTAGGATCTTCTAGTGATAAAATTTTTCCTTTTCCCCCGCCTCCCCGACTGTCTAAAAGTACTTTCATTCTTTCTTACTCATTAAAGGTAAGTTTTTAGTGAATACAAAACTCTAGTTTGGTAGCATGGTAAAGATATGATTTTATAATTTTATAGCTTAGAAACTGAGTCACATAGTTTAAGGTTAAGAAGTCAACTGTCAGACTAACTACCACTCTTTTGAGGGTCATCTGTCTTTTTCCTCTGCCTACCCTTTAGAACTTCTTTTTACCTTTACTCTCTTTACCTTTGTACAATGTCTATGTGAGAATTCCTTTCTATTCATCCTTCCCATTATTTGTATGTTGTTGTGGATGTACCTATCTCCATACCTTTTCAATCTATAAGCAGAACAGATCATGTGGGAGGCTAAACTCTGTGAGGAGGAGTATGGCATCAGAACTGGAGGTATACTCATCAACAATCTATGTTATGCAAAGAACACAACCCTGAGGAAACTGAGGACCTGAAAAGCTTGCTGCAGATGGTTAAGGACTACAACCTACAATATGAAGCTCAACATCAAGAAAACAAAAGATTCTCATCATTGAGTCGATTGAGAGCATTATGATAGATGGTGAAGAGATTGAGATTGTTAACAGCTTCAGTTTGCTTGACTCTACAATCAACACTCTTGGTACCAGCAGCCAGGAAATTAGAAGACACATTGCATTGGGAAAGTCTGCTGTTGGGGACCTCTCCAGAGTACTGAAGTGCTGCGACATCATTCTGGAGACTAAGGTGTGCCTGATCTAGGGAATAGTCTTCACAATTACTTGCTATGTGTCAGAAAGCTGGACAGTGACTAGGGATGATAGGAAGATAATTGATGCCTTTGAGCTGTGGTGTTGGAGAAGAGTATTGAATATACCATGGACTGCCAGGACAACAAACAAGTTTGTTCTGGAGAGGGTGAAACCCAGATGCTCCTTGGA